GGAAGGTGAGGGTTATTTACTAACTAGATAGTAGATAAGAATTATCTTAGGTGAAGGGAAGGACAGCACACACTGCAGGGGAAGTCAGCACAACTGGACTAAACCAAAGCTAAGAAGGTTCTGAATACAATCAAATACTTTGAGAGACAGAGTAGCAGGGGTAGAGGTCTGGAGACCATGCTTTCAGGGGACATCTAGGTAAACTGACATAACAAAGCTTATTAAGAAAATGTTCTGCATCCTACTTTGGTGAGTGGCATCTGGGGTCTTAAAAACTTGCAAGCGGCCATCTAAGATGCATCAATTGGTGCCAACCACCTGGAGTAAAGGAGAATGAAGAACACCAAAGACACAAAGAAAGTGTTAACCCAAGAGACAGGGCCACATAAACCAGAGACTTCATCAGCTTGAAACCAGAAGAACTAGAGGGTGCCTAGCTACCACCAATGACCGCCCTGACAGGGAACACAACAGACAGTCCCAGATGGAGCAGGAGAAAGGTGGGGCGCAGAACTCAAATTCTAGTAAGAAGACCAGACTTAATGGTCTGACTGAGACTGGAGGAACCCCGGAAAGCATGGCCTCTGGATTTTCTATCAGCCCAGACCTAAAACAATTTCTGAGGCCAACTCTTCAGACAGGGATTGGACTGAACTGTGGGACATAAAGTGATACTCATGAGGGGTATGGCTCTTAGCTCAGGTAGATACAAGAGACTAAACAGGCAGAGGTGAGACGAGAAGGCGGAAAGGGTTAGGAGCTGGTTGAATGGACATGGGGAATCAGGGGTGGAAAGGAGGGAGTGTGCTGTCACCGTATGGGGACAGCAATTAGAGTCACATAACAATGTATGTATAAATTTTTGTATGGGAAAAAATAAAAAAAAATGATGCTCAATGTCATCAACCATTGTTGTTAGCTGCTGTTGAGTTGATTCTGACTCATGGTGACCCCGTGTGTGCAGAGTAGAACTGCTCTTTAAAGTTTCCAAGGCTGTGACCTTTCAGAAGCAGAGTGCCAGGCCTGTCTTCCAAGATGCCTCTGGGTGGGTTCTGACTACTAACGTTTCAGCTAATAGTCTAGCACTTAACCATTTATGCCACCCATGGACTCCTCATCAACCATTAGGGAAATACAAAGCAAAACCTTAATGAGATAGAACTTCACATCTACTAAGATGACAATGATTAAAAACAAAACAAAAAAATGAAAAGCAACAGGTGTTGGCGAAGATGTGGAGAAATTGGAACACTTGTCAATTGTTGGTGGAAGTGCAAAATGGTACAGCCACTGTGGAAAAACATTTTGGCAGTTCCTCAAAAAGTTAAACATAGAATTACCATATATGATCCAGCAATTCCACTCTTACATATCTACCCCAAATCATGGAAATCAGGAACACAGACAGATACATGTGCATCCATGTCCATTGTAGCACTTATTCATAATAGCCAAAAGGTGGAAACCACCTAAATGTCCATCAACAATGAATGGATAAACAAAATGTGGTACATACATATAAGGGAATATTACTGTGCTATAAAGAGAAATGAAGTCCTGATGCATACTACAATATTGATGAACCTTGAAAACATTATGCCGAGTGAAGTCAGTCACAAAAGGACAAATTTATAAGATCCCACTTCTATGAAATATATTAAATGGGCAAATGTATAGAGACCAAAGTTTATTAGTGGTTACCAGAGGTAGGAGTGAGGGAGAATGAGGGAGTGGTAACTTAGGGAGCACTGAGCTTCTGTGAGCGTGTTGGAAAAATTTGGAATGGGTAGTGGTGATGGTTGCACAACATGATGAACGTAATTAATATCACTGAATCGTACACGTAAAAAATGTTGAAATAGCAGATGTTTCGTGATAGATATACTTGTCATAGTAAAGAAACATTTGTCTTAGATTTCAAGATATGATACTTTTCTTAAGGGTTACTGCAGACGATTTCTGTCCAAGGGAATCTCACCTGGCTCCCTCCTTCTTAGGTTTGGGCGGAGGTTGGTGCTCAGATGGTGTATCCTCCAAATGGCTGTCTTTGGGACTTGTGCGGCCTTTGCTCCCACCTTCCTCATTTACTGCTCACTGCGCTTCTTGACTGGCTGTTCTTCCGTGGGTGTCGTGATCTGCAGTGGCTTGCTCAGTAAGTCAACCCTTTAGGCCTTCTGTATGAGCTAAAGTAGATTATAAAATTTCACCTTTGTTTGAATTTAAAATCATGTTTGAGTTTTCTTTCAGTGTCAGAGTGGACAGTGACCAAATCCAAAGCCATGGTACCAACACTGGCAAATTGTGCCTCTAGTACTGGACAGATAATCCTAGGAGGCCTGGCTTTTGCTATTCAAGAGTGGCGCACACTCCAGCTGGTGGTATCTGTGCCCTTCTTTGTCTTCATACTGCTCTCAAGGTAGGAGCTTACTCTCTTTTTTTATTGTCATAAAAATACATATAACATTTGCCAATTCAACAATTTTTACACATACAGTTCAGTGACGTTGATTATGTTCATCCTATTGTGCAACCATTACCACTACATAGGAGCTCACTCTTAACTTTTGTCTCCAAAGGCCCCTCCAATGAGAATAGACATAGGAATTAGTTCACATGGATTCTATTTGATCCCTTCTTGGACTTAAACTCATGGTCCCATCTGTGCTCTTCCTGCCATTTTAAATGGAGAAGTGGGAGCAGCAATCATCCTCTGTCAGGGACATTGAGACTATGCTATATTATGGAGGTGAAGTTCCTGTGAAACTATTTTTATAATAGAAAAGAACATAAACCTGGGATAAGAGGTGAGGAGTCTGTTAACTTTTTCTATAAAGAACTACCTGGTAAGTGTCTTAGGCTTTGTGGGCCATGTGGTATCTTTAGCAACTACTCAACCTTGACATTCTGGTGCAAAAGCAGCTATAGATAATTCATAAATGAATGATCATGCTGTCTTCCAATAAAACTTATGTGCAAAAGAGTTCTGTTGGCTGTATTTGACATGAGGGCTCTGGTTTCCATTCCCTGACTTAAATAATTTATGAAACACTTGAGGGCTTCTGAAACCCAAACTTTGCTAGCTTCCTGGAAAACCTGTCTTTAAGATGATATGACTTTACACACAATTAAACTCCAAAGCCTGATTTCTAACAATGTTACATAATGTCGTTCTCTTATTGTTCTCAGTGTGGTTTATTTTGGATAATGAGAACATGAGTACAGTGGTACGTATTAGATGGAAAGGGACATGTGTCTCAGATCATAGGTTATATGGCTAATACGCAAGGGTCATTTGTCTGCACTTGTGTCTTCTTCTTTGATCAGGTGGCTGGTGGATTCTGCTCGGTGGCTGATTGTTAATGACAAACCAGATGAGGGCTTAAAGGAACTTAGAAAAGCTGCGTGCATAAATGGAATAAAGAATGCTGGAGAAATCCTCACCATGGAGGTGAGAGGTAAAGGGGAGCTGATAACTGGATGTAGGGAAGACATAACCCGACAACTACAGCAGTCTGAATCCATGGGGTGATAGTTGTTGTTGTTAGGTGCTGTTGAGTCAATTTTGACTCATACCAAACCCATGTGACGGAGCAGAACAGTCGCATAGAATTTTCTAGGCTGTAATCCTTTTTTTTTCAGCCGTCGAGTGGAGTCTGACTCATGGTGACCCTATAGAACAGAGTAGAGCTTGCCCCATAGGGTTTCCAAGGCTGTAAATCTTTTTTTTTTTTTTTAATTGTACTTAGATGAAGGTTTACAGAACACATACTTTCTCATTAAACAGTTAGTACACGTATTGCTTTATGACAATGGTTAACAACTCCATGACATGTCAACACTGTCATTTCTCAAGTTTGGGTTCCCTATTATCAGCTTTCCTGTCCCCTCCTGCCTTCTAGTCCTTGACCCTGAACTGTTGTGCCCCATTAGTCTCATTTTGTTTTATGGGGCTGTCTAGTCTTTGGCTGAAGTGTGAACCTCGGGAGTGACTTCATTACTAGCTAAAAGGGTGTCCAGGGGCCATACTCTCGGGGCTTCTCCAGTCTCTGTTATGCCAATAAGTCTGGTCTTTTCTTGTGAGTTAGAATTTTGTTGTACATTTTTCTCCAGCTCTGTCTGAGACCCTCTGTTGTGATCCCGGTCAGATCTTTAAGGAAGCAGATCACCAGGTCTTTCTCCCATGAAGTTGCTGGGTGGGTTAGAACCGATAACCTTTCAGTTAGCAGCCAAGCGCTTAACTGTTGTGCCACCAGGGTTCCTTTCAATAGGGTGATTACAGGGCTGGAGTTGTAGGTTTTGTTAAGGGTCTTCTTATATCACTGACCTGGTTCTCATTGGTTGTTGTTTGTTTGACAGACATTGAGAGAGTATATCCTGTTGCTGATATGGATTTGTGCACAGAAACTTTGATGCAACCCAGGCAAAGGGCACTGAATGTACAAAACGGGAGAGATTCAGTTTTGTTCTTACCACAGCTGTGTAGAGGAAAGTAACCAAAATGAATTTATGTCTTCCAATTACTAATTTGTGGCCATATTTTTTCAGAGAAATAAGACTAGTAGAAGGAAGGGTTAATGACAACACAGAAGTGTTAGAAGAATAAGATTCACTTATTCGTTCATGTATTCAGATATTATTTCATTCAAGATATACTTAGTGAGTACCGTGTGCCAGGTTCAGTTCTAGGCTTTGGAGAAATTCCAATGAATGCAACAGCCCCATTCCCTGTTTTGTGCAGTTTTCATTGTTATCAGTGGGTGCCAAGATCATGCCTGAGTGGCAATGCCTCAGAAAGGTCTTTCCCTTTTTTATGTTTTCATCTCAGAGATGGAAGGCAGGTACTGTATTGATGTGGATTATTCATTTCAGGAATTTGAAAAAGTTAAAATTACTCATGTATTCTCTTCCACACGTATTTAAATATTACCAAGCATTTTTAGTGTTTTCAAATTCCCATGGATTGGCAGTGCTGCCAAGGACACCAACTGTGTTGAATAAGGATTCTGTCATTTGTGAGAAGTTTTCAGCATTCCCGTAAATGTCCTGCCCCGACATCCCCTATTTTGTTCTATAACCTCCATATACAACCTGCTTGCTGGCCAAGAGCAGGTGGCTGGTACAAAAGAGTTTGTGACTATCCTGTATGGTAATGCAGGATTGAATTTGAATTCAGTTTCCTAGGCACAGCATCCCTCAGTGTACCGTGCTTAAGGTCTATCTCGAGTCCATTCTTACAAAACAAAAATTTCAAGGATCTCAGCCTTAGCTATTGGATGTAAGAAGTGAGGGAGGGAGAAGCAGGCATGACTTCCTTTGAAAACTATTCTGGATTTGTGTGACACAGAGAACTCAATTTGGCCTTTGTCTTTGGTTTTCTGAAAGATAGCCCTCGGAATTTTTCAAGCAATCAAGGTTCCCTTGTTTTCTAAAACAGCCAGGCAACACTTAAGTACGTGCAAATGAGTGGAAGCCCCAAAGACCACACCTGGCAGCAACCTCAGGAAGGGAAGGGGGCATGATACAATCAGTCATGCGTATTCATTGATGCAATTATCATGACTATGCAATAAAGTCAATAAAAGTTCTGGACACCGAAGTTCCTTTGACCTTCCTGATTGACAAAGCACCTGGGTGGACTGTGCATCTCTGGGTACATGAAGCTCTGCACCAAACCCCCCTCCTACCTTGCCTGTGCATCTCTTCATGTGTATCCTTTTGTGTTAAATTTACAGTCTTAATATCAAAATTGTTATAGTGAGTATAGCCTTTTCCATGAGTTCTGTGAGTCATTTTAACAAATTATGGAACCTACCAGGGGCAGTGAGAGCCAGTAAGGCTTGGCTTCTGCCTATTTGGCAGTTGGAAGGCCGGAGTCCTTGTAACTTGTCAAGACCCAGCTCTGGGTGACTGGGGGATAGAAAAGGGCTGTGCAGGTGGTTGATCTGCAGGACAGAGTCCTTCTAACTTGTAAGGTCTAACCTAAGTCTGGGTGGCTAGTGTCAGAGAGAAAAAGTGCCATATGGGTAACTGGTGTCAGAGATAAAGGCAAAGTGAGAAAGCTAGGATAAGAGTAATCTTCACATTTTGGGAATTGGCCTTATGCTGATTTTGACTGATGAACTTGGAATAACTTGTTTATCACACAGTGATGTCTTTCCTTCCCTTTCAATTCTCTTCATCATAGCACTCTCCCAGTGGTCTTCTTGAAATGGAAATGTTGCTTCAGTTATTTTACTGTTGGTCATGGTAAAGGTGAAGTGAGAATAGAGCTAATGTTATTGAATAAGTTATAAAGGGCCCACCCTGTGGTGGATGGAGTCCTGGTGGTGTAGTGGTTAAGAGCTACAGCTGTTAACCAAAAGGTCAGCAGTTAGAATCCACCAGCCACTCCTGGGAAACCCAATGGGGCAGTTCCACCCGTAGGGTCGCTATGAGTTGGAATCCACTCAAAGATAACAGGTTTTTTTTTTTTTTTTTTTTTTGTGATGGGTATATTTTCTTATGTTTACTTGAAATCACATGTAATCCTTACAAAATTCCTTTGTTGGGTCAACTTTCCCATATACATTTGAGACGTTGTGTGATCCTGACAAAACCCCTGTAAATGGCAGACTCTGGAGTTTAGAGATATTAGGTGAACTTTCCCTAAGTCAACTATTGTAAGAGCAGAACCAGAATTCGATGTGAGGTTTGTCAGACCCTGAAACCCACGCTTGTGGCTTCATTTCCATCATCTCTCAGAACATCTGGTCCGAGAATAAATTATACTGCATTAAGATCTCCACATTAAGATCTGAAGTTCCTTCCTTATATCAATATTTCATTCTTAGCATCCCATTCATGAGAGCAAAAATATCGGAAGTATCCTGATAGAGGCTGTGCCCAGATCCAAACAAGACAGGACTCCTGTTCTCCAGATATCCACCCCTCTTCTTTACAGATACAGACAAATTGCTTTTCTAACAAGGACAGCCAGCTGAGATCCCCCTCAATTCCTAGGTCTTTCCTGCCAAGCTGTTAATAATGAAGTTTTGTGTCCAGATTTGGTTCCCTTTTATGGTCCAAATTTCTTACCTAGCTTCTCTTGTCATTGCATTTTTCTCTCTAACCCTGTTGTTTAAAATAACCTTGTCCTTATAAGTCTCTACTTCTTTTGTAATACTTTTCACATTTGTAATGCTTGTTTAGTGACTGTCTTTAAACTAGACAGAAAGCTCCTTGAAATAGAGAACATATTTCTGTTGCGTGCATAGTGCTCCCCAATGCCTAACACTTTTTTGGTAACTGATAATGTTCATTGCTCTTGTTGTTAATTAAGGTTTTGAGACTCACCATGCGAGAGGATTTGGATGCAGCACAGACCAAAACTTCTGTGTATGACTTGTTCCGCACACCCAACCTGCGTAAAAGAATGTGCATCCTTTTCATTATGAGGTAGGCTCCATAAGATCCTGAGAAGCATTAAAATATTGGAAACCTCAATCCATTATTTTTTTTCCAAAGAATACAATAGTGTTGGGTGACTGACCAATACATTTAAGGTGAGGAAACAGTACAAGAAAGTATTTTAGCAAGTGCTATGCTTTGAGGTAGTCTAAGTTATGGAACTACTCATTAGGACCTAATTATGTAATCATAAGTCACATATCTTACATTCCCTTACAATGGTTACCATTGGTGACAGTGATGTTGAGAATTGCTATCATTAAATGGACTTTGATTTATACGTTTATGTTCACTTTTTACTGAGATAAAACTGATAAACACTAACAAGCACAATCATAAATACATACAATTTGATGAACATTTACATTAAATTTTCTTGGCAGCTTTATAAAAAAATAAATTGACCATACATGTATGAGTCTATTTCTGGACCTCAAATTCTATTCCAATTATCTATATGTCAATCCTTATGTCACTACCCCATTGTTTTGTTTACTTCAGCTTTCTAGTAAGTTTTTAATCAGGAAGTGTGAGTCCTCCATTTTTTTCTTCCTTTTCAGAATTGTTTAAACTATTCAGGGTCCCTTGCAATTGCATATGAATTTTAGCATCAGCTTTCCATTTCCGCAAAAAACGTTGTTGGTCCCGAAAGTATGGCCCCCGGACATTCTTTTAGCTCAGTGATGAAGCCCCTCCCGAAGTTCACCGTTCAGCCGGGAATTGGACAGCCTCATAAAACAAAACAGGACTAATGAGGCACAGCAGTCCAGGGACAAGGACTAGAACGTAGGAGGGGACAAGAAAGCTGGTGATAGGGAACCCAAGTTTGAGAAGGGATATTGTTGACATGTCATGGGGTTATTAACCATTGTCATAGGGCAATATGTGTACTAACTATTTAATGAGAAACTATTTGTTCTGCAAACCTTCATCTAAGGCACAAAAATAAAGAATTATCTATGTGAGATCAAATTGACAACAGTGACTCAAAAGGTTTGATGGGAAGCCTAGGGGACAGTGAGTTGAAGATAATGGAATACTTTGGAAAAGGATAGTGAGAATAGCAGCACAGCTGGAAGAATGTAATCAATGTCACTGAATTGTACATGTAGAAACTTTCAAAATGGTGTAACTTTGGCTATGTATATTTTCACCAAAAAAAAAGGTCCTCCAGGTTGAGAAGGGAGAGTGTTGACACATCATGGGGTTCTTAACCAATGTCATAAAACAATGTGTACTGACTGTTTAATGAGAAACCATTTGTTCTGTAAACCTTCATCTAAAGTACAATAAAAAAATTTAAAAAAACATTGTCGGGATTTTGATAGGGATTGCATTGAATCTGTAGATCATTTTGGAGAGTAGTCCATCTTAACAATATTAAGTCTTCCAATCCATGAACATAGGATGTTTTTTCATTTATTTAAGTCTTCTTTAATTTCTTTCAGCAAAGTTTTGTAGTTTTTAGTTCACAAGTGTTTCACCTCCTTGGTTAAATTTATTCCCAAGTATTTATTCTTTTTGATACTATTGTCAGTAGAATTGTGTTATTTCATTTTTATATTGTTCATTAATCATGTATAGAAATATACCTGATTTTTCACCCTGATGTCAGTAATTTTATTCATGAGTTTTTTTAAAAAAGAGTTTTTATTTATTTATTATTTATTGTGGTGAGTGTATATATATATATATATAAAATTGCCATTTCAAAAATTTTTTACATGCACAATTAAGTGACTTTAATTACTTTCATCATGTTTTGCAACCATCATCACTATCAATTTCCAAAATTTTCCATCACCCTTATCAGAAGCTCAGTGCCCCCCAAGAAATGACTCTCCCTTTGCCCTCCCTCCCACCCCTTGTAACCACTAACAGACTTTGTTCTCAATACATTTGTCTAGTCTATATATTTTATTTTATAGAGATTATACAAGCTTTGTCCCTTTGTGGCTGACTTATTTTACTCAACATTATATTTTTAAGGTTCATCCGTATTTAGCCTGTATAAGGACTTCATTTCTCTTTAAGGCACAGGAATACTCCATTGTATGTATGTATCACATTTTGTTTATCCATTCATCTGTTGAAGGATATTTAGATTGTTTCCACATTTTGGTTACTGTGAATAGTGCTGCAATGACATTGATGTACATTGTGTTCCTGTTTTCAATTCTTTTGAATATGTACCTAGAAGTGGAATTACTGAATCATATGGCAACTCTATGTTTAACTTTTTGAGGAACCTCCAAACTGTTTTCCACAGCAGTTGTACCATTTTACAGTCCCATCAGCAATAGATAAGTGTTTCAATTTTGATTTGTATTTCCCTAATGACTAATGATGTTGAGCATCTTTCATGTGTTTGTTGGTCATTTGTATTTCTTTGAGAAATGTCTGTTCGAGTCCTCAGGCCAATTATTAATTGGGTTGTTATTTTGTTGTTAAGTCGTAGGTGTTCTTTACATATTCTAGATATTAAACCCTTATCAGGTATATGGTTTCCCCAATATTTCTCCCAATCTGTAGTCTGTCTGTTCACTTTGTTGAGAAAGTCCTTTGAAGCAAAAAAGTTTTAATTTTGATGAAGTGCCATTTTATCTTGTCTTTTGTTGCTCTTGCTTTTGATGTCATAGCTAAGAATCCCTTGTTAAAAACTTTGTCTTGAAGCATTAGCCCTGTGTTTTCTTCTAAGAGTTTTCTGGTTTTAGATCTTACATTTAGGGCTTTCATCCATTTTGAAGTAATTTTCATATATGGTGTGAAATATAGGTCCAACTTTATTTTTGTGTATGTAGAAATCCAGTTTTATAAGCACCATTTATTAAAGAGGCTATTTTTTCCACTGAACAGACTTAGCACCCTTGTCAAAAACCAATTAAACATAGATGTGTGGGTTCATTTCTGGACTCTCCATTTATTCCATTGGTTTATTATTATACCAGGACCAGACTTCTGATTACTGTAGCTTTACAATGTGTTTTGAGATCAGGAAGTGTGAGTTCTCCTACTTTGTTCTTTTTCAAGATTGCTTTGGCTATTCAGGGTCCCTTGCAGTTCCATATAAATTTGAGAATTGGCTTTTCCATTTATGCAAAGAAGGCTGTTGGAATTTTGCAGGAATTGAGTCGATAGTTTGCTTTGGGTAATATTGACATCTTAACAATGTTTTCTTCCCACCCATGAACGCAAAATGTCCTCCCATTTCTTTAGGTCTTTAATTTCTTTCAGTAATGTTTTATAGTTTTCAGTATACAAGTTTTCACTTCCTTTGTTAAATTAATGCCTAGGTATTTTATTCTTTTAGGTGCTGTTGTAAAAGGAATTGTTTCTTCAATTTCCTTTTCAGAATGTTCATTGCTAATGTACAGAAACTCAATAAATTTTTATGTGTTGACCTTGTATCTCGCCACTTTGCTGAATTTACTTATCAGGGCTAGTAACTTTCTTGTGGGCTTTTAAAAATTTTTCTGTATATAAAATCACATCATCAGCAAAAGGATTGGCTTTATGTCTTCCTTTCCAATTTTGTTGTTATTAGGTGCCATTGAGTTGGGACTGACTCATAGCGACCCTATGTCCAACAGAATGAAATCCTGCCCAGTCCTGTGCCATCCCCACAATCGTTGCTATGTTTGAGCCCATTGTTGCAGCCACTGTGTCAATCCATTCTGTTGAGGGTTTTCCTCTTTTTCACTGACTCTCTGCTTTACCAAGCATGATGCCCTTCTCCAGGGACTGGTCCCTCCTGATAACATTTCCAAAGTATGTGAGATGAAATCTCCCCATCCTTGCTTCTAAGGAGCATTCTGGCTATACTTCTTCCAAGACAGATTTGTTCGTTCTTCTGGCAGTACATGGTTTATTCAATATTCATTGCAAACACCATAATTCAAATGCATCAATTCTTTGGTCTTCCTTATTCATAGTCCAGCTTTGGCATGCTATCACACTATGAGGTGAATGAAAATATCATGCCTTGGGCCAGGCACATCTTAGTCTTCAGAGTGACATCTTTCCTTTTTAACACTTTAAAGACGTCTTTTGTAGCTGATTTTTCCAATGCGATATGTTGTTTGATTTCTTGACTGCTGCTTCCGTGTGTGTTGATTGTGAGTCCAAGTAAAATGAAATCCTTGACAACTTCAGTCTTTTTCCGTTTATCATGATGTTGCTTATTGGTCCACTTGTGAGGATTTTTGTTTTCTTTATGTTGAGGTGTAATCCATAGTGAAGACTGTAGTCTTTAATCTTCATCAGTAAGTGCTTCAAATTCTCTTTGCTTTCAGCAAGCAAGGTTGTGTTATCTGCATATCGCAAGTTGTTGATGAGTCTTCCTCCAATCCTGATGCCCCTTTCTTCTTCATATAGTCCAGCTTCTCAGATTATTTGCTCAGCATACAGATTGAATAAGTGTATTGAAAGGATACAGTCCAGTGACGCACACCTTTCCTAATTTTAAACCATGCGGTATCCCCTTGTTCTATTTGAACGACTGCCTCTTGGTCTATGTACAAGTTCTTCATGAGCACAATTAATTGATCTGGAACTCCCATTCTTGACAATGTTATCCACAATTTGTTATGATCCACACAGTTGAATGCCTTTGCATAGTCAATAAAATAGGTAAACTTCTTTCTGGTATTCTCTGCTTTCAGCCAAGATCCATCTGACATCAGCAATGATATCCCTCGTTCCATATCCTCTTCTGAATCCAGCTTGAAATTCTGGCAGTTCCCTGTAGATATAATGCTGCAATCACTTTTGAATGATCTTCAGCAGAATTTACTTGCATGTGATATTAATGATATTGTTTGATAATTTCCAAATTCCGTTGGATCACCTTTCTTTGGGATGGGCACAAATATGGATCTCTTCCAGTGAGTTGGCCAGGTAACTGTCTTCCAGATTTCTTGCCATAGAAGAGTGAGTGCTTCCAGGGTTGCTTCCATTTGTTGAAATATCTCTATTTGTATTGCATCAATTCCT